GGCTATGTTACAAGGTGTTCATAAACGAATAAATTTAACCACGGCATAAGCGTGACATGCATCGACGTAACGTGGGTTACGATACCTGTAAATCTGGACCCATCCCAAAGTCAGCGTTATTCCAAAGGTTTGTATCCTCGCGTAACAGAGAGTTGGTGAGTTCCATGGAGAGTCGTTTCTTGTACTCCTGTGGTTTATCTTCGCTCATGCGGAACAAAACGGCTGCCGCATAGGTCGCGACACCTTCATTCCTAGAATGAAGCAACTCCGTCAAAGGAGCAGTAGCACCTTCCTGTTCGATCATTTCAGCACCTTCTTTATCCGCGGCGAGTTCGCAAAGTACACCAGCTGCGACGCGTTGAATGTTCTCAATCTCATTAAACAGCAACTACAAACAATGTACAAACGTATTAGAACAAATTTAATATGAAACATACCGAAGTTAAATTTAAATGAATTTTTTTTGATGTATGTCAAAATTACCTGCACGAAGATCGGAATTACGTTCTGAGATCTGATAATAACTCTATTATGTGATTCTCTTGCCAGGATATGGAGCGCTCCTACGGTACCTTCCACTATCTCCTCCATTCGGACACCACCATCCGCATATGCTCCTGATGTCTGCTGACTTCCAGTGCTTGCCACGGATGAACGTTGCTGCTAAAGAGGAATCAATCTTTTCTTAGTTCACGCTCTGATTTAGACTATTGAATATAATACAGAATCGATTTGAAAGTAACGTTTACCCGTTGTGTCTCAGGGAAAGCACGCATCAGAAGCCTGACCAGATGATGAATTGCGCCGTGATCGCGAAGCGGGCCATGATTTGCTGGACAAAGCGCCAAGTTGCGAATTAATCCTATTACTGCCTTAACCAATGGCCAACGCGAAGGCGGGTGTAATAGTTTCACTATGACTTGTATTCCATAATTTAGGCGAACTGAATTCTGTGCCATTTCAGCTTCTACGTGACGCGACGTTAAGTGACGAAGCGCACATACTGCCGGCTCGCTGATCTCTTCCCGACTGTCCGCATAAATGATCGTACGTACAAGAGCATCCACACCGCCTACTTGACATACTGTTACTTTGTTACGTTGATTATTGCAAGTCAAATTCGACAAGATACCAGCAGCACATGTGACGACATTTACGTCGGTAGAGCTAAGAACTTGTACAAGACTCTGTAATAAACCTTCCAATCCGTCGACTTTGGTTCCAGCATCCGATAAATTTCGTAACGTCCACAGACAATTCTGGACGAGTCTCTGGCTTGGATTACCGAGATGCATAGCAAGTGCTTGCATACCACCAGCCTCGACTATCACTGGTTTATTACTAAGACAAACCGACAATACTTTCAAGGCTCTCGAAGTCGTCCACAGGAGCTTCTCGTAATCGTATGAACGCATTATGCGTACCAATTCTATTGGCCCTTGAGAAGCTAATATGATTAATTTGCTCTCCTGATTACCATATGCAAGAATTTGCAAACAGTCGGTTACTATAGCTAGAAATTTGACGTTATCCCGCTGCAGCAGAGCAACCATTTTCTGCAGTCCTCCAGCAAGTCGTACTGCCATTTTAGAACCATCCTGATGTAAAAGTAAATTATGAAGAGTCGTGATAGCGTAAAACAATACCGATTCCATCGGTGAACTCAAGAGTTTCACAAGAGCGGGTATACCACCACTTTTGAAAATAGCCAGCAGACCCTGTCTATGATGAGATAAATTATGCAATGTACCAACTGCAGCCTTTGTCGATTCGAGATCGTCACTGTTTGAAATGGCACGAACTAAAGCGGCAACCATTTGTGAACTGTTCATGATAGCATGACGAGACGCTTCCTTCTTAGAAAGTTGATGAACTACCATTGCCGCCTTAGACACCACAACTTGGTCCTCGTCATTTAATAATTTTATTAATTCTGGTATTGCACGTGTTGCAAGATCTGCATCATCCTGATAGTTTATCAAATTGACAACCGCATGCTTCAACATTTGACTCGGTTCTGCCAATCTTTGAACAGCTGTAGGTTGAGCTGGATCATATTGCGTCGAAGGAATTTCTATACCCTCCTCTAATGTTTCAGGGAACATAGCTGCACGAACACGTTGGGATCTTGTGTGATTTAATTGTTGATTCATTTCATCGACCTGATCTTGAGTGAATCCCTGAGCAAATCCTTGATCCAAATCAAACATTAGCTGATCACCCTCCATCTCGTCGTCTTCTTTGCCTGACAGAGACGGTGCCTGGGTGACAGCACCAGAATGTATTCCTGAATCACCCATATAAGAATTCTGTTGCCACATCAAAGTTTGTTCTTTGGCAGAGCCCATGGGTAGATCACCCAAACCCTGATAATTCCCGTGAGACACTACAAAAGTAATTGCATAAGATAATGGAAATATTTCACATACTGTATCACGTTATATCATACATTGTATACAAAGGTGACTCACTTGGTCTGGATTGATTCGAAGGCATTTGATAACTCATGGCTCCTACGGGAGAGTCTATCCACACCTGAAATAAAAGAAAACCATGCTACACACTTGATTTACATCATATGTAATGAGTTTGATCACTCGCGCAGAAACTTTCGTAAAACGGAGGAAAAAAAAAAGTACACGAAAGGCGGAGCTTAGACTGTTAAAGCATCAAATAACGACGTTATCACGACGTTTCGTTTCAAAACTCGCGTATTCGACGTAAGTACGTGAATATCGTGGAAGGCAGTGCGAAAAAGCAATACGAACTGCCATACACCTCTGTGCCAGCGCACGATTAACGAGAGAAAAAAAAAAAATTCCTTCGATCTCACGACGGGAAGTTCTTAGCCTTGCTTTGCTGAAAGTTTCGAAGACGCCACGACGCGCGTAGGGTCAGTGCACTGTATCACGAAGAATGGAAGGAGGATGTAACTACTCGGAATGTGGGTACGATCGAAAGATTCCTCTGAGCGTTGTTGCAGCTTCCACTTTTACGTTGAGACACGAGCGGTGGACGCGGCGGCTCGATCGAATACGGCTGGAAATCTAGATATGCACACGAGGCGCGAACGATGCTCGATTTCCAAAGGTAGAGGGACGCGCGTGGGCGTGCGGCACAACAAAGGCTCTAAGAATGCAATGCATCACCATTTTCCGAGGATCCACGAGCAGCGGAGAGCGGAGGAGAGCGGCAGGGAAGCGAGAACGGAAGGAAGGGGCAGCAAGAGAGATGTGGCTACGACACATTAATGAAAGAGAGAAAGGGAACGAGAAATGGAGAGAGAGGACAAACACTTTGACACACCCAGCGTAAACACCGCCGTCACGGAAATGACAATTTTTTCCCTATCGGTCGACGTAATGGCGAATGATAAAATTCTACTGTGCTTACCGTACAGCAAGGATCGACCGAAGGCGACTTCGTGAATCGTGCTCGAACCAAGACACGAATGACTCACTACCTTACGCTCGATCCACCAAATTCCCGATTGCCCCCGACGCTTTAATCCACCTATCTCTTCCCCGTACGGAGCTGTTCGCCTTTCTTGCCTCGAATCCGTCAACTAAAGATGGCGGAAAACGACGCGGAACCCTCGCCTCTACCGCCACCTGTCGTCCACACTGACTCGATGTTGCAGTGGTGCTCAATATCCATAACGCAACCTCGATTAGCCGGCTCTTCTTCTCTCTCCGCAGAGGAGAATATTTATCGATTTTTATACCCCTTGCGAATACTCGATCGTATCTAACTCAAACTCGTTTACTGCACTTCCGAGAATTCAGTAAGTAATTTATTTTCCTTTATTTCTGCCGTTCTTTCAACTGACCCGTACCTTTCAGCGCAAGATTCCTATCCATGCTCCTCCTTACGTCCTAAGTTTAAGGTTATGCATACACGTACAAATACAAATTCGAACTCGGCAGAAATGAAAAGTAACGCGATGAAACGCGTAAGTAGAAGTTATCTTTTCAATTGAAATTAATCAATCTTTAATTCACGTAGCTTCGTAAGTATCGCGTGCGAATATATATTTATTAATGCGATACGTAGTATGTATTTGGCGTATATGTACTTGGTGATCGGAAAAAAGGAGACCGATCTGCCGGTCATGTCAGACGAAAATATGCCAGATGGTGAAACTGTTTCAATATCTCACGTACGAAGACTGAAGGATAATATCCTGCAGTCGAGAGGATCAATTTCAATTAAAAGACAATTCCCTAGGACATGGCAATTTTTTAATGGATTCGTGGGTATTTGTCCATCCACGGTAGCCGAGAATTTCTGATCGAGTTCAGGAGTAAATCGTGCCAGCTAGACAGCTAGAATGCGCACAAAATAACAGACACTGGAGTCCAAAGTAAAATATACTGGCCGTTTGGCGGGAACACCATTCGTTATCGGCTGCGCCCACGCCGATTAATTTTCGGATGCGTGATGGCGGTACCGTTCCTTCCGTTCCGTACAGTGATGATACATTTTATGTCAACGCTGATATTGAACGGATAATCGGAAAAAAGGAAAACGCGTTTTGAAATACATCATCGTGCCGATATTGAAATATCGGAGCGCAAAGCTTCCTGGAATAAATTTACGCCCGTTCTTTCAATTAATAACAAGCAATAACTACGTTTTGCATAATTTCGAAAATAAAGGAAATGATTTCCCGCATTTGGAAATCTCGATCGATTCGCCGCGAATGTTTTCAAATATCCCGAACGAGTCGACCGTATGATTCAGAGGAAGTAAATAAAATTCGCAATAGCCTACAAAGTTTAAATGCAAGAATCGTATACTCTTGAGATTAGGTTCGTCGATGATGATTTCTCGTCGGTGTAAGTTTATTAGAAACTGACCTCCTCCGGCCGGGAGGGCTATTCTTTTAATCGAAAAGAATTACACGTACATTTTCGCCCCGGCGGTAAAGACCTCGAATAAAATATGTAACATGAAACAGGCGGACAGTTTTACGATGATTCATCGGACAGGGGAATACACACTTTTTTCACGAAATATTTATTTATTTACACGAGATTCGACTACGACGTATTCTTGTCGGTTTCGTTTATTTATGAGTTTAAAGGGGGATCGGCGTAGCCCACGCTTCGCTATATCGAATATATACTGCCCTCCTTAACCAAATGAGCGATATCATACCGTTTAGTATCGTTGAGTAAAAGAGAACACGCGTAGATATGTTCGCCGCGGTCTCACTGGTCGATCGATCGTTCGGGAACGATCATACGAGTGAAAGGATCGAGTAAAAGCTCTCATTTCGTTCGTTTGCCCGGGCTCGGGTCTTGAAATTTCGCCTGGTCTTCGAAAAAAGCGAGACACCGTCTTGAAGGCAGGCCAGGTAGAGAGCATAGAGGGTGACAGATGCCCGTTCAACGGTGTGTCTCCCCACCTACGCGGCATGCTGCTGACACGAGCGTTTATGTCTGCATAAATTCTCATTTGAGCCCCGATAATAAAGTAAGCACACGAGGGGGACGGACACACGTTGCCCGGTTCGGCGAGCACAGGCTGATACATAGATCACCGTTGAACGCGGGGCAAGAAAAGGGGGAAGAGTCGGGCAGGGTTGCGAGAGAGAGAGAGAGAGAGAGAG